CCTGAGCGATTGTGTCCCAAGCGTGCAATCATCGTAACGCAGCAGTGGGTTTTTTTTTTTTTTTTCAATCTCGACTTGATGCATAGTTACAAGACCATAACATACACAAATAATAATTTCATTACACCGGCTGTCGCTGTAATTGCAGTGTCTGTACAATTCATGACAGACGACACTGACAAAGCCCCAGGTGAGGTTAGCATTTGCCGCTCTCTATGTCAACCAAGTATTATCAGTGCTGAATAGTTCACGATTTAAAGATATTGTGCTGTGAAGATAGAAAGTAAAGTGGTTACATCCCCAAGGTGTGACTGATTTACAGTGTCAGCAATGCTTCTTTATAAATTCTCTGAACACCTGAGTAAGATCAAAAAGGGAACTTGTTACCACGGGCAAAACACAACAGCTAAAGCGCCTCCTGCCCAAGTGCAGTCAAATCAAATTATACCAGAAACAAATAAAATCTATAAGAAGAGGTGAGCATCTTCCAAGGAAAAATAATTGGTTTAGTTAAGAACTTCATTTGAAAAAGTCGCTATTTATGTTTACTATTAAGTTACAGAAGTTGGAGATTTCCACGTCACAAAAATATGCCACAAACTGTTTACACCAAAGGAGGCAAATAAGACAAAGAAAACAAAAGCCCCGGCCCTTACACACACCTGGAATCTGTTTGTGCTTATAAAGAGAATACTGTAGTGCAGCTACCAGCAGCTAATGGAACACAGGACACTGTAGTGAGATGCAGCTGAGGGGTGTGATGATGACAGATAGAGTTACTGCAGTCACTGTAACTTATAGTTTACCCAGGATGACTGCCACGCTGACCTGGACAAGTAGCAGAAATATATAGATGGACAGGTGCTGTATCAGGTCTCACCTCTCTCTCTCTTAGGCCACCGTTCACACTGCAAGCTTTAGTGCTCAAATCAGTTGTTTTTTTTTGTGTTGTGGTTTCACAATATTTTTTAACTGTGGCCAATATCTGAATCCAGTGTGAACTGATCATGAACTGACCTGCATGGACGTCACACGCAGCACACAGTCGTACAGAAGCAAACACGGAGGCAGGTGAAGTAAGCGTTCACGGTTTAATTTAACGGTTGATGCTCGGTGGATGCCAGAGAATTCATGAGCAGATGAAAACGAGGATGAGGAGAAAGGAAGACAAATTTTAAATTTGGGCTTTTTGTGGAGCATTGGCCGCTACCGCTCTACGAAGGTGTGTGTGGAGGAAGTGTCAGAGCCAGAAGTGGTGGGATTAGAGATGTTGAAAATTAACCGTTTAACCGTTGACCGAAAATAAAGAAATTTGAACAATTAATGCTATCAGTTAAACGATATAATAAACATTTAACAGAAAAAGAAAAAGCTGAAAGGAAAATAGCTGGTCCACCTTAAAGCTAAGCCTGCCTTAAGTCTGCGAGAGCCATTGCAGTTGCTACCTTTGGAATCAGCAGGTTGCAGATGGCTGGCTCACAAGCAGGCGGCAACCTTTAGTTCTGACGAGTTAAGCCGAAGAGGAAGTGTCTTAAACTTGCATTCTCTCTACTGGCCATCAGGGGGCGACTCCCCTGGTTGCAAAAAGAAGTCTGATTGTATAGAAGTCTATTAGAAAATGACTACTACTCTCTTGATTTATTACCTCAGTAAACATTGTAAACATGAGTTTATGGTCTCAATCTCTAGTTTCAAGTCTTCTTCAATACAGCATGATGTTCATTTAGTACATTATGGTCCATTTAGAGTCAAACAGACCATAAAGCAGAGTATGCTTTAAGGCGGGCTTACTGTGATTGACAGGTCACTGTTGTCTGTAGTGTGAATGTAGCCTTTAACTGACTCTGACAGAGACGGCAGAGATCTCACACGGGCAAATCCAGACTCCTCTGAGGCATCTTCAAGGTACATATAGGTTCAGTATCCCCAGAAGCTACTCAGCATGTAGGGTCAAACAAAGTAGTTAGAAAATACAAACTTCAGGCATTTCGATACATACCATAGTAGCACTCTGGATTAAATATCTGAATTTATTTATTTAATATGTTGAATCACAGTATAACAAGAATGGCAATTTATAAACTACAATACCTCAGATCTCATGCTTTGATAGATTACTTAAAATGTAATTAACTGGAAATCAAAGAGTGGTGATGTCATAAAATAAACATTCAGCATGTACTGTAAGTTTTACCAAATGTACTTTCTTGTTAACAGTGTTATAAATGTAACAAAAGTTTAATGTTCTTTTAACCTCGACTGTTGCAGGAAATGAGTACCAGCTGAGATGTGTGATTCATGCCATTTCCATTTTACAGCCTTTATTTTCCAGCGAGTATTTACACATCAGATTCTACAGGCAGCAGCTCTGTACGTTACTATCAACGTTCTTGTGAGCACAACAATCTATTTTCAACAGAAACAACAATGCAAATGTTCCAAACTGGTTTGACAATTTGCAAAAATATTCACTGTGCCAAAAAATAAAGCCACCAGGATAAACCGACGGGATGGATGAGGAACACACGAGCAGAGTCAGACGGATTTACTACAAAATCAAGAGGATTTCATATTTCATTCGGAGAATTCTTTTTAGATAAAAAAAAAAAAATACTGAGCGAACATAAAACGCATTTTAGCGCCCCTCAATATGCAAGTAAAGGGTTAAAAGCATGCGATGGAAGATTTGTTAAAGTAGAACAAGTTTTGGGAGATTTTATCACGTTATAAGACATTATTAACTCGTTAAGTGATGGTACTGGCAACAAGGGAAACGTTAACACAGTCACACCACAGCCAACATTTCAACAGATTGTAGATTGTTGGGTAAATATAATCATGTTCTCATAGGAACTAAGAGTGTGACTCACCTTCTCCTTTCTTTGACACGCAAACATGACGCAACACAATAACGGTTAGTCTTAAAAACAGCCATACTGTATGTGCACTAACTAACTGTCGTACAAATAAATACATTAAAAAAGAGCTACAAAGTCAACGTTTTGGAGTTAGTAAATCACATGTACAGTCCATTTATTTGTCAGTGTGAAGATACATTGTTTGAATTTGTGAAGGGAGCTTATTCGAGCTAAAACGTGGCGTTATGTTGCTCTTTAAGTTATATTCAACTACGCCGGGGCTCAACACTAACTTTTAAAAGTGGTTGCCACGCTGGCAACCAGACATCAGCTTTTGGTTACCTAAACTGACACCTTATATTTTGAGTAATTAACATTAACTTTGTGATTCCCATCACGACCCACTGGCCCTTCAGCACTCAACTCTTGGATTGTGGGTCTCTTAAGTGACACCAGCATCAGCTTGTCCATCATCTTTACTTTCAGAGACGACCTCCAGTCTGTCAGATTCTGAGATTGCTGAGACAGCACAATCTCCTCTCGCATACAGCTGAAGGGACTGGGTGGGTTTTGCTGTCCTAATTTTTTACATGTGAAAGAGTGGTTGCCAAAGGCCAAGATTTGGTTGCCAATTCCTCAAAATGGTCGCCAATGGCAAACTGGCAACCCTTCCAGTCGAGCCCTGATTTTGTGTTTCTCTCGATATACAACAATAAAACTACAGCTGCTGTCAAAACCGATGGGTCTGTTAAAGCCCTTTACATGTTCGTATAAACTGCCAATTTACCACAATAACCCCGTTTACATGAGAGCATGTTGGAGAAGTGTTTCTTTTTTCTAAAACAAATAACTTGTTGACTAACCGCAAACAAATTCAACCGAACAGCAGCAATGAGACAGGATTATGGCCCATCACCCAAGGTCTTCAGTGGAATAAAACACTTCAGGATTTTATAAAAGTGCTTATTTGCATCGTTGAGTACTGCTTCACCTGAACGTCGGCCCTCATGTTACTAATCATACAGTCCACACAAGGCCACAAGAGACTAGCTGCTTTCATGAAGGAATAGTTCAGATGTTTTGCACTGGGGATGTATGACGTACTCGTCCATAGTCCATGTGTTAGATACAGTAGATGGAGGTTGCCACGCTACAATCATAGACTGTATATAAGAAGTAGACGTAGTCATCGTTATGTCACCCCTATTGGTTTGTGGACTGCTGTTTTGAAGCTTTGAGTTCAGCAATTTGTAATGCGGAGGAGTAGACTCTGTATACGGTTCTGGTAGCAGGCAGTGACCTGTCAATCACAGTAAGCCCCGCCCTAAAGCATCCCCTGCTTTATGGTCTATTTGACTCTAAATGGACCATAATGTACGAAATGAACATCATGCTGTATTGAAGAAGACTTGAAACTAGAGATTGAGACCATAAACTCATGTTTACAATATTTACTGAGGTAATAAATCAAGTGAGAAGTAGAGTAATTTTTTCATAGACTTCTATACAACCAGATGAGTCGCCCCCTGATGGTCAGTAGAGAGAATGCAAATTTAAGGCACTTCTGCATTGGCTTCACTCGTCAGAACTGGAGGTTGCTGCCTGGCTACGATACACTGAGTATGACTGAGTACCTCATACAACCCCTCCTCAAAACACCTGAACTATCCCTTTAATGCATACAACTAGAATTACCACCTTGCGGTTGTTTGCCTTCGCCAACCAGTCGAGTTGCATTTTACATTCATGTCTGTCCAAAATGTCATCACATCATTATTTTATCCTATTAGATATTTGTGTGAAATTGTCATCATTTGAATTTGAATTCTTAAAGTTATGGCCAAAAACGTGTTTTCTGAGGTCACAGTGACCCTTGACCACCAAAAAACTAATCAGCTCATCCTTGAGTCCAAGTGGACGTTTGCGCCAAATTTGAAGAAACTGTCTCACAAAGTTTCTGAGGCATCGCGTTCACATGAATGGGACGGATGTAAGGTCACAGTGACCCTGGCCTTTGACCTCCAGATTCAAGGAAGTGAAAAGCAACCGTGAATTTAGATCGATCCATTTGTACAGGAAGTCAAACTTTTGATGAAAGAGAGGCATGCCGAGACTAGACGTCTAAGTATTGAGCCCACTTACTCTCGCTCCTTCTCAGTGAGTCTGTCAGTGATGGTGTCCCTGATGGAGGAGCGGGAACCCTTGTGGATCACCGGATACCGAAGAGGGATCTGCAGGAAGCACGAAATCATCAGGACCAGGTGCGACGTGTAACCCAGGGCGACCGCCAGGCTCCCATCATCCTTTGCTGAGGGGGACAAAGCAAAAGAGAAGATCCAGTAATCGCACATTAGATAAGAGGGTTGCCGAGCGGCGCACAAGTGCTCTTTACGGTGACCTGCGTCAACATACCGAAGCCGCAAAGACTATAATATAATCCAATGCAGATTCAATTCAAAACAACAGCATTTTAAATAAACCAAAAGGTATTTTATCACACCAACAACTTCAAAGCACAGTCAGCAATGTCTCGCATGGAAAAAGAACAGCGGCGTTTACATACACGGTGACCACATCTTGAGAACCGGAACAAAAATGTACAAACAAACATCCCACCAAAGATAGTTTGGCAACAGAGTATCCACGGTAAGAAGAGCCGTAGCATTCATGTGGGATGGTGTTTTGAAAGCAATACAAAATTTGGCACGGCACACAATGTACCCCCCCTAAAAAAAAAAACATTGGTTGCAGTGGGATACCCAAAATCTTTCAGATATGTGCTTGACAAGCAAAAGCATCACGTACTGTATAACTATTGCCTCTGAGCCGAGTAACTATTGGAGTGGAAAACTGGACGGCAAACCATCGAGCTCTAAGTAGGAGAAATGGTTTCAAGACGACACTCTAAGTGCTTTCACATTCTCAAACAGCGGCAGGACACTGCTCGAGGCAAAGGCTTAAAATCACCATGGTTTTTATCTTAATGCGCTGAAATAATAGACTGTGGCAACAGTGAGTGGTATGCTCCTTGGCTCAAACTGTCTTTTGACACAGAACGTACATTTTTCTTTCGCCTTGCATTTTCTTGTCGACAGCACAAAAAAAACAAAAGAAAGCACCAGTCTACCTGGAATAAACAGCTTCTTGATGATGCTACACACTAACAGGTCAACTAAAGGACACCTTAGTGGAGGCTGCTGCCATCTTGTCAGGCTGAGCTGACAAGGGAAGCTTAGTTAAACGTAAAACACTGAAGGGCCTCAGTGGAGTGACGCTCTGCTCTACTTTGACCCCCAGTGGGATTAGGACTCCAAGTAACCCTGTCCCTGGTCTCTAATGTGGAACATCCTCCACCTGTGGGCGGTTCTAGACATGATCAGGCTTTTTTCTGGGGCAGACCTCACACAAATGACAGCAAGGTGGTTAAATGAAGAGGGTAAAACGCATGCTTTTCCATCTTCTCTTTCGAAAAGGGTCTCTGCCTGTTGCGCTGGCCTTTGCAAGACAGTTAGAGGGGTGAATATTAATGGCTACCTGGATGGCGTGACAGCCCTCCTCTACATTTCACAAACAAGCCATCTGACCGGGAGGGCAAAGGTAGTTAGCCGTAAATGCATTAGGATGTTCTCTGTTAGGCCTTTCATCCGCCGGCACAGCACATGCTCTGTTGTTTTACTCACTGCTAGAGGTCCACCTACGCAGGACCGGGAGGCAGAAGCAGACGCAGGCCTCCACCTTATGGGAACGAGCGATCGCTGCAAACATAAAATGGGCTGGCTGTCACGACTGCGCGCTCCGCTGTGCTGTTGAAATATGCTGTAACAGGTGGAGTGCGACAGGTGGAGCGTGACAGGGGATCGGGAGTGGTGTTTTTTGAGTTATGGGGTTCGGAGGCCCGCCGGGTCTCACCAGCTGTGAGGAAGGAGAGCTGGAGAATGTTGAGGGGGACAGTGGCGAGTGTGTTCTCAGTGTAAGACAAGTGCTGCAGACCAAAAGCTAACCATTCATTGGCCGTTCAATCCCAACTATTGAGAGGCCATGAAGTCGTCACCTCGCTGTGACAGCAAACCCCGTTTATCACGACGCATCCAGCGTGAACATCCCTCTAACCAGCCACACCGACAAGATAACAAGGGCTTTGTGGCTAAAACCGCCTTCTGTTGCCCAACATCTCTGATATTACATTGTGTGGTTTTTGCAGGCTATGTCTCTTTTTGGTGGTGGTGGGACCCGTTACAAAAGCATCTTGTGACAAGACTCTGAGACTGTGGGAGGTGGAACAGCTCCTCCATCAGAGTCCAATGGCAGATCAGAAAGCCTAAGTGTTCACAAAAACAGAATAATGCAAACCAAACTAGTTCTTAGTCTGTCTGTCCCACATGCCTGACTCCAAACTCTTTCCTCACTTAAAGACTCCAAGAGTCGAAATTCTTCCTTCTTTTTTTTTTTAAACTAGATTCGTATGCGGCCTTCTCCTTCCTCTTTGTTGGCCCTATGTTTGACAGAAACACTGGCTGAAATTGTTTTAAGTAATTCTTTTGACTGTGTGGACGATAAATAAATTGATGCAAATGAAACTGCAGCCAGAATTCCATCCAAATGTATCCCAAATTTTAACAAAACTAAGAGAAATTAGGCAGAAAAAAAAAAAAAGGGAATGCAGTAGGTGGGCCAAATTCTCCGTCATCATACCATTGCAGAATAAGAGGGCCCAACAAGATGAAGCAGTTAAAAGAGCGCCAGTGGAATCCCAAATGGTGAAAAACTGGATGTAAATATGACTCATGTTTTATTCTGCTGCTATTTTCCGACTCTGTCCCATCATCCATGTACGTCATTATTTATTCACATTTTGCTTTCATCGATACACCAACCTCTCCACCTCAGCCAAGCGCGGAAACTTTGCGATATTTCAAGATTAGATTTTTGCCGTCTCCACTCAAGATTTTTTGGTGCGCAAATTGACAAAAGCAGGTGGATGGAAATGTACCTAATGTTAGGAGGAGAAAAAAGATTAACGCAAGTACCTGTGCGTGCGTGCGTGCCTGTTAATTTGAATTCAAAGACCGCCTTAGCCGCAGGAAAGTGATTACACAGGTGCTCAATCATTACCAGCTCATCCCACTCAGTGTCTGAGGCAAGACACGTTGTGCGTCTACTTTGGCTAGTTCTGTACAATAAAATAAAGTTAAGAGGAATGTCAACCTTGCCCTGCTCGTAAAACTATTGATGAGACAATTATGTCATTATGTCTTTTATGCATTGAATTGCACACTGTACCGTTGATTATGAAATTATGGCATTTATGCACGTTAAAGACTAATACCCGAGCACAGTAATGCCAAATTGCCACTTATAGTTGCCAAAGTTATGATCTCATAGATGCCGTATGTATGAGATCATCAGCCTTCAGATTGGGTTCTTTATATCAAACATTTACGTATAACCTCAAGCGTTAAAGCTAAGGCCAAACATTTGTTCGGCATGCCTTACCACAGCCTATCCTCCTTTAGCCCTGCAACACAAGCGGGCACATAATAGATTACCTTGAAAGTCTTCAGAGTTTGGCAGCTTCACTCCGCAGATGACATAATCCGACTGATTGGCCTGCAGATGTAAATCAGAGGTTTCGTGTTAAAGACGATGACCAGACAGGATGAAAACCTGGTGTGAAACACCAGCTCTGCCACCGGTAGAGACACTTGCTTTAAATCGTTCCATCATTGTCCAGTGGTGTCGGCATTGGAAATGTTTGGTTTGTACGCCAAACAGAGTGACTGCAATGTTTATCACGTTAAACAGATAGGCGAATACTCAGTAGAAATAACATTCAGAATTCAGACATTACTTTGGAACCGATGTGCTGCGTTTCAGCTTGATCAAAGCCACAGTTCTGTAAGCAGATCATTCTTTGCGGTTGCCTCGTCAACAATGTGTTGTGCAGCAGTGAACCGTCAACTCACCACGTCGATGGGGTAGATGTAGGAGAGCTCAGAGAGGAGCTGACGACAGCGGAAGGTGAGCTGGGCGTTGGACTTGAGGAACTGCTCTCTGGAGAGACAAATAGACACAAGGACGGCACAGTGAGTAGCCGGCTGGCAGAGGGAGACGGACGCTGCAGTAACGAGTGGAGGACTAGAGGAAGAGCAGAGGTGAGATCGTAGGGGAAGGTGATGGAAGGGAGAATGCAATGAGTGGTGGAAATCCTCCAGGCTAGTCACTGCTCCACAGTGACCCGCTGTGAGGCATGAAGAGAATGAAGTTGGTGAAAATAGGTAACACAATAACAGTGTATCTGAACATAGCTTGAAAGCATCATTGTGTATTACTTAATGCAACCTCCGTATGTTAGCCGTTAGCTCCGTTATTTAGCCAACAGCTAATGTTAAGTAGCTCTCCTCCGGCCGATTTCAACACAGGTTTGTTGTTCACAATGTAGCATTATCAGGATGCACAAGAGTGTGTTTAACAATAGGCGTGTAGTACTAGTTTGCACATTTGGGCAGGATGTATGGATCGGGTAGCGAGTGAGACGTGTTGTTGTTGGTCCTGTGTAGCATATATATATCAGTAGAGTAAATGATAAGATAAAATGATATCGGATCGCTGCATAGACTTGTGTCCCGGTAGCATTTCTGATACTGGCATCAGAACAACTGCAGTGAATAACCCAATCTAAGGAGTCCTGTTTGTGTAAATGGATGTTGAAGATGTTGTATATGTGCCTCAAAAACAAATGTCCTGTTAGACGCGTCTTCCACTTCCAACAGTCTTATAATATCACTGAGGAACCTATGAGGGGAGTGCAGGAGATTTAAAGGTGGCTTTATAAGGAAAATAAGACTAAATGTACAATTAATCTAGTTATTGAGTTGTGTGAAACCCAGTCCAAATAGAAAACATCAAATTTCTGCAGCTAACAAATAACAAAGCCTTGCAGTTAAAAAGTAAATGAGACATGACTCTTCCAGGATTTATGCACATCTATTCCTGGGACCGCTTATGTCTGAGTAACACAGATGATCGGCTGCTTTGTGTGAAAGGTGTGTGGGCGTCCTCTACAGAACTACTTGTGGGTAATAGTCCATCATCTCATGCACCCTCCCATCCATGCTGCTCGCCTTACACTTGAATTTCCTCTTTGGCTTTGCCTCTGGTTAGCAGTCTCTTATCATTTCCCTGTCCCGGTGTGCGGCTGCTTCATGGAAGAGGAGACGGATTGGTGTGCAATGATCTGAAATCACTCATCTGTCCGGCTGACTTTGCCTCATCTAATTGGTTAAGCTCGAGGTGCAATCCTAAAACATGTAAACTCATGTCCGTCCCGCTCCCCCTCTTAATGTATGCTTACAAACAAAATACTTTGTGTTAATCTACATGTTAACTGACCTAAGGAAGCAAATACACAAATCCTGGCACGTGACTAACAATTCTCAAGTAAAAGTACCATGACAACAATCTAAAGACACTCCACCAGAAGTAAAAGTCATGCATTTAAAATCCCTCTTAAGTTAAAGTTACGTATTATTAGCTAAATGTATGTGAAGGAATAGATGAGTAGATCGCTACCGATCCATACGTTTAAAACATTTGCTTTTTAAAGTGAAAGTACTCATTCAAAGGCTCACAAGTTAAATCAACCTGCCACTGTGGCCTTTACCCTGTATTTGGCAGGTACTAATTTCACTCCCTGTCTGTGTTCATCTTTCTGCTGATTTAGATTTTTTTGAAGGTGTTAAATACAACATTGGGAGCATTTCTATTGCCCCTCATCGGCTCTCACCATTGCAGCTGCTGAGCCGGAGGCTAACAGGTAACAATGTTAGCACCGCTAACAGTGCAAAGAACGGCAAAAGTGCTGACAGAGCTAACCGTGTTTACCCGAGGGGGGAACTAGAGAGTGGGTGCTACGCTTCCATGATGACGCCATATGAGAGCAGTGCAGAGAGGCTGCTGTGAGACAGCCAATGGGGCACGCTCACATGCACTGAAAGCATGTGAGGCAGTCAACAAAACAAGGAGAAGCTCAGATTACAGCACATTGCTGCTATATTAAGACTCTGAATTTATCACCTTTATAACATTTTTGATCATTTCACCACATTTGGCCTGGCACAGTTCTCTAAATGAAACCATCTGGGATGTTGAGAGGGGAAATAGTTGGTGGATCTGCTAACAACTCTTTGACCTCCGATACATGACAAGTGGCCCCACCATGCTTTAATGAAAAGGTAATCACTGGTTTAACCTCTAGCAAAGCACTGTATTTCATAAGCTTATCAAATGTTTTTTAAAGTTAATCTGAATCTGCAAAAGTACAATATTTCCTTTGAAATGTATTAGAATAGAAGTATGAAGTAGCACAATGGAAATACTTAAGTAGAGTACTTCCAAATTGTACTTGTAATAAAAAGTGCCGTACTTGAGTAGTACTTTCAACCAGGGGAGTTGGTTTACCACCTCAAGTAGGCTACTGGGATCTAGATATGTAAAGTAAAGTCCTTTTATGTTTTTCAAAAAGCACACTCAACTCTACTACAGCAACTACCACTTAAGTTAGTACAACTATCACTTCCCTTTCAGCCCCAATTTTGTGAGATCAGCTGTTCAACAGCAGATGTAAAATATTAAATAGGAATGTGGAAAGGCCGAAAAAAAAAAAAAAAAGTGTGCATGCTCAGCATAACTTTTCACTGACTAAAAGTGAAAAAAAGAAAGAATTTAGATGAAAAAGAAACATTTCCATGAAAAAAACATCGACGACACAGATATTTCCAAAGAATGGATGTTAGGCAGATGCACGAGTGTCGGTGTTAATTTCCTGTTTGCTGGGTCTCTTGGCCCCTGCCGGCCTTCCTGGGGCTCTGGTTTACCCTCTGCGACTGCCAGGTACCTCACAGACAAACAGAGCTGTATCCAGGGCCGGCACCCGCCGAACACGTCTCCCCGCAGGCCAAGGCAAACACAGGCCAATGGGCTTTTTAGCACAATGTGCAAACTCTCCGTTGAGAACACATAAATAGGCAGTGCCAGCCGCGAAAACATCGCCTTGTTTTGAAAGAGCGCGGTGGGAGGCGGGGTGTAGTCCCATCGCAATTCAGTGGGATTGAGCAACACATCGCATCACATCTGGGCAATGTCTGACGGGGATAAATGCATTTAAAAAGTGTGTTTTCTGTGCAGACATAAAGCAGTAGCTAATTACAGGTTCACTCGTACCTCTTGGCAGTGCATTCCTTCTGCAGCTTGGTTAAGGATTCTTTCTCCTCCTTCAGACTCTCGTGCTGAGCGGAGAACGCTTCCTCTGAAAGAGACAAAAAGAAAAGATTATCAGAGGTGTGTGTGTGTGTGTGTGTGTGTTCTGCTACATCTGAACAACCAGGTGGGCTTGTGTTTGGTTGACTGCCATCCACTGTTAACCTTAAACAAGATCAAACAGCCAAAACCATTTCCCTTTGACAGCACATAAAAACCAAACAACACATGTATGCAAATTACAGGATTTGTCAGACTGTGTAAATACAGAGCTAAGCAAATAAATAAAATCTGACAGATAAGGGGCAGTGATGATACAGCTCGTGGAAGTTGTGGAACTGCAGTATTGGCAGGCTCACAATACCTCAGTGTAGCGTAGAACCGGATAGAAGCAAAGTATAATTTACTGGGTTGTAACAGAATTCTTCTCTAATCTGTGTTCGTCCAGCTTCACACATGGTGGGATGTCAGATAAATGCAAGAGAAACATGACTTATGAGTCCACGTCGTTTAAATAAACACAAAACAAATCAATCACAAACAATGTGGTTATTTCATTTTTAGCACTTTATTTAAATGTCTAATGGGTTCTGTTTCGCCATTATTACATACGATCCCCAATGCTGGTCAGTAGGTTGACAATGCAGTGATTCAGAATAAGCAAACCATGTGTTCGCTAAACTTTTTCCTTCTGCATATTCCCCCCCCCCCCCGACTCCAGAATATACAGAAGAACGTTTGCCATATTTGTTTGAAGCTGAAAAGGGGAAAAGCATACGGACAACTGTGTGTGCCTTGTGATAACTATTAAAAAATTTGGATTGCAGTCCTAATTAGGAAGCAAAGGGTCACAAAGACTGACCGTCAGGTGCAACTTCTGATGTATCAGAAGGTATGGTGGCGGAGAGAGAGCAGCGCCACAGAGCTCTTCATGCCAAAAATCACATATGCTTTATGCTCAGACTGTGAATATAAACATCGGTAATGAGGTTTCTCCCCAAGGTGGCTGGCCTCGCTGTTAACGACAAGGGAAAGAGCGGGGCCAACGTGTTGCATTGTGGGTAATGTGGGTGGCAGGTTTTGACAAGAAAGTGTGTGGAATTTTAAAAAAGGCGTCATCTCCGGTGCTGCTACATCGATTTTGATCCTTTTTTTTCCAAAAAAAGGTGCTCAATACAGAATTCAGAGCATATCTATTGCCTCCCCACGGCTCTCAACATGGCGACAGCTGAGCCTGCGGCTAGCAGCTAATGATGCTAACAGCACAAACAGTGCAAACAACTACAACAGCCCTGACAGAGCTACCAGTGTTTACCTGAGGGGAATCGGAGGGTAGGCTCTACACCATGGGTTAAGACGTTTAAAGGGAAAGAATGACCCGCTGAGTTACAGACGACTCTTTCCAAATGTAAGTCAATGGGAAAGAGTATTTTTGGGCCCAATGGCATCAGAAGTTGGAATTCTACCATTTGGCAACTATGTCAAATTAGGTTCAAAGCCAGGCACTCTTCCGAGCAGGCTTGGTCGAGACGACCGGCGTACGAGTGCAGTGCAGAGCGACGGCCACAAGCTAGCTAGCTAACAGCTAACACGTGCACTAAAATGCATGTGCACGGCCAGCCAAGCTATGTAAAGAAAGCACAGAGAAACACTGGACATTACTCCACTCTATCTTTACATGAGAATAGTAGTTTGCTGCTCTATTTATGCTCTGAATCCCACACATAGAACCTTTTAAACTGTCCATTGTGAGTGCAAGAATGTTACAGAAGTGCGTTGTTAAACCAGTGCAGTACTCTTTTACGGATAATAATAGAAGTGATTCCAATTCTTCTGATAACTGTACTTGTTGATTACTGGTTTCTATTATTGGCGTATTATTTGAGCAAAAAAAGAAGCCAAAAGTGTGTTGAAAGCAAAAAAACACCAGCAATAAATGGTGTTTCCTCTTGTATATCTCAACCAAGCACACACTCATTTCCATTCACCATTAGACAACATTACTACAGGTCGCACTCTCACCGTTTTCTTATCTTTTAAGCCCACAGCTGTAATGAAATCTGTAATTAAGCTTCTGTTAATGCAAACATTAGACTTGCTATTGTTTTCTATAGTCTTAGTTAGTGATGTTGTAATTGGCCCTTTATTGTCAGTGGATCCTATTTTTAAATATTGCAGAGAGGAATCCTAGAAGATGAAAACGTGGAAGAAGAGCTTTACAATTTCTGTGGCAGAGATAACTGTATTCATGCTTTCAAGCACTGCCAGTTCTACTTCTGCATTCCTCTATTCAAAATGGACAAGAAGCCATTAAACCGTGTCAGAGTGATGGAAATCGACCATCAAAAAGATGGATGTGATGACAGCAGCTGGCAGAACAGTGAGTTTTTAGAGAATAAGATGATCACATCACATCTGTAATCAGATGGATCACAGGACCTGCTTTTAAATCACATACTTTCATTCACGTCCATGCTGCTCACACTGACCCCATGAGGGTTGAAGAAGCGCTACCTTGACGGAGGGAGGAAGAAAATAAAGGTACTCAGAGGTTTCCCCATCAGATTAGAATGGAAGACAGATAGTGTCAGACAGAGAACAGACGGGCCACCCCTCTGTCGTGAGGGATGACATGAAAACATATTCTCACACCGACTGCCTGGGCCTGTGCTGCACTGTGTTGCTTTCATGTAACGGCCCAGCCGTGTCCTATCTGTTCCATCCGTCTCGTGGTCCTTTCATCCCTCTAACCTGTTCCAGTCGGTGTCACGGTACGGACAGAAAAAAACTACAGCGAATACTACGATAGGGTACACGCAGCATTCTGCCCGTTTGTGCGCAGACGCGCTATATCAATATCATATTCTATATCAAACATGAGTGGTGGGTGTAGGATCCAAAATGAGCTTTAAAATGCTACAATGCTGTCACCACTTGCTGGTGAATCTGATGCTGACTCTGAAGAAACCCTTAAACCAGCAGAGTGATTTTCCTTTAAACTGGCCTGACCTCTGTGACCTCTTGGAGTGTTCCTGGACTGGGTGAGGTGTCCCTGAGGACATTCAAATTGGCACACATTATCAGATAAAAAGCATTAACACTGGACTGGTTTAAACTTACAGGAAAAAACTGCATTAACTTCAGAGTACAAGTGCTGTTGTGTGTAATGCAAAAGGTGCAAAAAGCTCAAGAGAGTTGCTGCTTTCTTGTCTGTGAAACGTTTAATCAGTTATTTGAGACTGCAGTTAAAAACTATGGAAGCTTAATGCAAATGACATCAAATACAAGTGATCAGTGAAGCTATTGAGACACAGCTATCGTCATAATTAGCACAGCAAGACGTTCGTGAGAAAATCCCACAAAAGGAATCGTTAACAGGCGCTTATAATCTGGTTCACACTAAAAACCGTTGATCTTACGGCTTATTAAAAGGCATCCTGGTCTAAAGCTTCACTTTGGGACATCGTTATCGAGCATGAAATAAAAAAACAGTGCGAACACTATCAACTCAAAACAGAACCACAACAGATGAAATGAGATGAAGAGCGTTTGGGAAAGTGTTTCAAAGGAATAAAACCATACAAGTGTCTGGGGAAACGTTCAGCAACTGTGAGGACCATTTTGAATGCTGCAAAACAACTTTGCATGACTTTGTTTCCAACTAACAAAATAATCCATCAGAACAGACGAACAAGGCTCTTCATGCTACATGAAGGAAACCTTTGGCTGTGACCTACAGCGAGAGTGGCACGTCAGGGGGGTTGATGAAGAACGTAGAACGACATCCCAGTGAGTCATTAGGCCGCCATACCTCGCCATACCCTCGACCTTTATCCTCAGTCCAGAATGCAGCCAGCGGCCTGGTGTAACACGTGGAAATCTGCTGCTCAAGGAGCCCTAATGATGATGGCTTCAACAGGAGACCTTTTTCTCCGAGGTGACAAATACCTCCTCACACCGAACCTTTCGCAAAAAATGTGCTCCTCGCACTCGAGAAACCCGATTACTGACATTTATTGGTCGGGAGCCCGGGCCGTGTTACCGAGCGGGAGAATAACTACCGTTGCCGAGTACAATAAACGCCGATCGCAGACCTGATTTATGTCATCTGCTCAAGGTGGAGGGAGCAGATGAACCCTTTGATTCTGGAGGGAGGAGAGAAAATGTTTATTTTTGAATTCATAGCCATAAAGAAAAACAGTGGTCATGCTCATATGTCCTCTGTTATGGATCGTGTGAAAGACATGCAGTGGACTTAGGAGTATGTGTGCATTTGCAGTTTTTACTAAAGTCTACACTCCTGCTATGATTTCCATGACAGTAAATCAGCGGGCACTGCACGGCTAGTTGTTAACCTGTCAGCGGGATGATGCCGACCGCTGACGTTTTACAGTGCTTATTATGCCAACGCCGTCCAGGACGGAAAAGAGGAGCACAAAGACGAGCAAGACTGCAAAAACATTCTCGTGGTTACTTTAAAACTAAAAAGGAATTTAAAAAGTGGACGCCTGAGTTTCACCTCATCTTTATTTGCTAGCCAACATGTCGACGTCCAGTCTTCCTGGGAATAATGGGTTGATAAGAGTTGCTCGTTAATGGGCCCCAGGACTGTGTGGGAGATGGGAAGGACCACACAGCCAGAACGGTGCGATGCGGGATGACCTCTGGGGGATACATTACATAGCAGTGTACTTACGCATACTGTTAAACTGTCAATAAAACCTACAAAGAAACCTAATAAGCAGTGGAATGTGTGAACATTCAGCAAACGAAACACTAATTGAATCAACATTAGCTTAGCCGCCAGCTTGTCTGATAAGCAATTTATGTGATTAAATGGGACTAAATATGCTTCTTCAGGTTTGTGCGAGTTCTGACAGACATATTGAGTCCCGAAGTGAAATTCAAGCTACGATTGAAACAAAATCAAAAAATTTAAATGCCCAAAGGAAAGATGAGATCAGATGAAACAAATACATTGTTTTGCCAATCTAAATATAATCAGACAAAATCAGTTGCTGCATGAAATACTGTAAACGCTCGTCTCCGAGAGTATCCTGTCAGTATGCAGGGCTGCTTTTTTTCCAGATTGTGAAACAAATAAATATGTGCAAGCTGATTAGAAGAGTTAAACAACAAGCTGGAAGTACAGCAGAGCTCGGCAGCATATGGCTTTTAGCTTTGGAGTTATGAGTCTGGGAAAAAAAAGGGGATTTTCAGCGAGCCCTATTCAGCTGGAGAATTTCAATTTAACCTAAAATACCTTTCCCCTCGTTAACCAGCTGAAGGAATTTTTTCTTCTGTTTCTTAATAAGCACTTGTCCAGTCGGGGAAAAAAGCCATCAATGAGCTGCCGAGAAGGAGAGCAGCGAGTTCTTCTGGCTGTGGACGCAGTGGTGACAGGTAAAGAAGTACAGGATTAACAGACTGCTTTCTTTTGAATGGTAGCACAAAGGAAACTTCTCCCTGAACCTCTCCTACAGCTTTCTTTTTGTCTGCGTGTGTAATGTCTGCATGCATGTGCAGACTACACGCTGATCATTACCAATCCACACCTCAGGTTTGGTGGCTCAGTGAGGTCTTGGCCAAAAGATCTAGCTGATCTCACTGACACAAGTCTCTGATTAGGGCTGTACCTGATACCACTTCTGGGGCTTCGAAGCTTCAGTGAGAAACGGTGGCACGAAAACGCACTATACGTTACACAAACTGCGTTACCAGAAAAGGTACAGGCCGACTCACTGTATCAATCTCTCACACATAATGCATGCATACATGCACACACAGAGAGAGGGCGTCAAAGGAGAACCTTCTTCTCTTTACGAGTGCTGGTCGCCTCTCACCGTCACTCAGTCAGTAAGAGAAACAGATCTCAGTCAGATAAACAGCTGCTAGAAGGAGTTCTGTGGTTGTGTCGGAGCAAAAAACCTGCTGCTGTTGCGTCTTTAAAAGATTTGCTCATATGTAGGCCTATGAAGAAATAAATAGACTGGAACCATTAAAAGATCTGGCTCTGTTGAGACTACCTGCCCATCGATTTGTTTCAGCACCAGGGACAGCGCAGCACTGACACACACACACACACACACACACACACACACACACACACACACACA